GTGTTGCCTTTGTGAAAATCCACTGAGTTGTACATTCTTTGTTTTTGGTTTCTACACTTTTCTGAGTGTTAAATTGTACATTTACAATTTTTGTTTAAGAAATATTTTCTTTCCCACTGATCATGGCTACACTCCATTGTTTGGTGAAATTTGTCCATCTGTCCGTCTAACTATTGCTGCTTTGAAGGTAACGCCACCTCTCTTGTGGCTGCTCTTCGCGTTTTCCCACTTTGTCTATGGTGTTTTGCAGTTTCACTATAATGTGTATCAAACCCATTTCTGTAGAGTCAATTCTGACTTCGCATGACCCTATAGAACTGCCCCATGGGGTTTCCAAGGCTGCAACAGAAACCCGCAACAACGAGTTCAAACACAGCAGTGGTTGTGAGAATGGGTCAGGACCAGGCAGTGTTTTGTTCTGTTGTCGGGGGCTATAAGTCATGACCAACTCAACAACGGTAAGTCTTCACAGACGCAGACTGCCACATCTCTCTTCCATGGACCAACTGGTGGGTTGAACAGGGGACCTTCTCTGCTCAGCAGCCAAATACTTTAACCACTGTGCCACCAGGGTTCCTTACGACGCACATAGATGGTCATTCATGGGCGCTCCTGTTGCTTGGGCTGCATTGGTCTTCTTGAATTTGTGGATTGATGTGTTCCCTCAGTGAGGGGACGCCTTCAGGCCTTGCCTCTACCTCTCCCACACCCCCCTCTCCCGTTCTTCACAGCCACACAGTTGGTCTCTCAAGAGTGTGTGGTACCTGTTGGGTTATAAACCAACCCTGAACCCCGCCTTCAGAGCCTCCATCCGGGCAGAGGGGGGATCTTGTAGTTTTCCGCCTCAGAAAAGGCCCTGTCTACTCCCCAGTTCCTCTTATTCTAACAAAATGGAGATAAGAACATGCCTGTGGGCCCTGTGGTTTGCTGAGTGTGGGGAACTTGCCCTTAACCCTGTGGCCCCACCCTGAACTAGGTGTCAACTCTGTGAGGACAAAAGCATTTCAGGGAAGGAAATTTCCAGGTCCCTGCACTCTTGGTGCTGCCGAGAACACACGCTAATAACACTAACTGTGCTTCTGAGGAAGCTGTACACGGACTGAGAGGTGGGGGCTAGCGCCACAGTGACCCCTTCCCCAACAACACACACACACACCACACCACACTCATGCACACTCACACATTCCCTTGCACCCACATCCATGCACACTCATGCACTCTCACCCTCTGATACACACAACTGCATACGTATCACACAAACCATAGTTCTCTCGGACTCACACTCACACACCATACATCACACTCTCACACATACCACATTCACACACCATCACTCTCACATGCACTCACATACACTATACACCACACTCACACCATCACACACTCTCACACAAACATGCACACTCACACACTCACACTCACGAATGCTCTCACAGTCACACACTCACTCCACTGTGCACTCACACTCATACACACTCACACATGCACAGCCACGGTGAGCCTTTGGACCCATTCCCCTCCCAGCCTCATGGCCCCACCCCTAAACTGGAGAGGACAGGAAGGGAGGGAGCAGGGCAACACATTCGTTCATTCGTACAAGCATTTATTGAACACCCAACCTGTGCCAGGCACTGTGCAAACACAAGTAAAAACGGGGTGTTGGGGGCACAGTGATTCCAGAGAGGCAAAGACATCCATGGGGCTGTTGCCAGCTGAGGGAGAGGGCCAGGGCATCCCAGCCTGGCCCCACCACGGACACCCCACGTGGGGAGCTATTGTGAGAGTCAGGGTATCCCAGCCTGGCCCCACCACAGACACCCACCATGGGGGCTATTGTGAGAGCTGGGGCGTCCCAGCCTGGCCCCACCACGGACACCCCACGTGGGAGGCTGGCCCTCTGCTTCCTGATGAAGCATGGTGAACGTCCATGCCCTTCGCTGCCCAGGAACAGAGACAAACATCACGTGGGCTCAGGGTGCCTTTACTGGCCGGCAGGCGACTATATCATCTTTCCCACGGCGACCCAGACCGCCTCAGCCAGGTGCTGACGCATGCCAGGGAGGTGGACGGGCTTCCTTGACGCCAGGCCCCTCCCTCCTGGTCCTGTCCCAGGTGCTCAACAGGTGTGGGTGCCGCCCTCCCACCTGCTCTCCCCCTGGGGGTCACAATGAGCGCTGGACACCAGTGTCTCCGGAGACCAGGGCCGGAAGCCGGGCCCCTGGTCCCGCCCAGCAGCCTCACCCTGTCGGGTCCGTTTGGTCCCGGTGCCTGCTTTTCCAGCAGATCTGCAGGCCTTTCTCCCAAGTTGCTTCTGGGGGACTGGAACCTCCAACCTTGCAGTTAGTGGGTGAGTGCCAACCTTCTGTGCGTCCAAGGATGCTCAGGTTCCAATCCGGACTCCTGCAGGATGCCTCAGCAGCTCCGGGAGCCCAGCTGTTAGATACCCCCCACAGCCCCCCTGGCTCCAGGTCGCAGGGTGGTCCCCTGCTGCTGCATGGAGCCCGCTGCTCCCTCCGTGACGGTGACGCTGCAGCAGCCCCTCCCGCTGCCCGGTGTCAGAGTCCCCAGCCTTCTGCACACTCAGCCTGGGCTCTGTACTGCTGCCTCTGCTCCCTCAATCGGCCCCTGTCTGCCTCCCGGCCTCCCTGATCCCCGCTTTCCCAGACAGCCCCCTCCTGCCTGGCAGGCACCTTGCTCTCCCCTGCAGGGGTCTGTGCACCCACCAGCAGCATCCTGGGGCCCGGAGTCATCCACCTCTCAGCCTTGTCACCTTGGTGTCCAGCCTGGCCCCGGCATTCACACACAGCAAGTCAGACAGCAGCTGAGGTCTCCACTCCAAGCCCTGGGCCGGTGCCCACGCAGCTGCCACCAACACCCAGCTCGTTGACGTGCTCCCCCGACAACAGTTCCCGGAGACCCCCCCAATCCGCCCCAAATGAGAAGCAAACCAAACCCATTGCTGCCGCGTTGATTCTGACTCGTTACAGAGCAGAACCGGCCCCTACGGTGGGTCTCCAGGCCCTATTTCCAAGGCAGCTCGGGTGCACTTGAACCTGCAGCCTTTTGGTGACAGCTGAGCCCATTCCCATGCACTCTCCAGGCACATTGCTTCCACCCAGCACCCCTGAAACGCACACTCTCCGGGGATAGTTTTCCTCTCTCCTCTCTCCCCAGCCTGTAACGTTCACTTTCTTTCCTCCATGCCCACCTCTCACGCTCCGACCACCTGGTCCCTGGACTTCTGGCCACATCCTCTTCAAGCACGGCTCCCACGTTCCCTCGCTGCTCGGGGCCTCCTCGGCCTCCTCCCCCTGGATCTCTCTGCATGGGAGGCCTTCTCACCACGGGGAGCTCCCCAGCTTCTGCTCCCCGGGGAGCGTGCAAAGCCACTACCCTCTTCTGAGCTCTGCATGACTCCGAAAGGGGTCTCACCTCCACGTCCTCTCCTCCCTGGTCCCATCTTAGCACCCAGGCCTGTCTGCCTCCCAGGTGTCCAAGCTGGGGGGCAGGGGTCTTTCCTGCCTCCTCTGTTGCTTCTCTGCCCAGCCTGTCCCTCACCCAGTCACTTCGGGCCCCTCAGCTCCTGCCCACGCCCTCCTCACCCACCCACCCTAACCAGCCTCCACCCACCCCTCCTGCAACAGCCTCTGCCTCTCTTGCCCCTTGAGAAGCCAGCCGTGGTCACACTGAGCTTGACCTTCAAAACCTGAGAAGCCACCAGCCTCCCCCAGCTAAGCCCTTCAGAGCCCTCAGAAGGGTGGTGTGCGGCCCCGGCTGGCGGTGGGTCAGCACAGAACACCTGTCCCCAGACAAGCCTCCCACGGGACGGTTTGCACAGACGTGCCCACCCCTGGGCAGCTAGTTCTCGCTCCTCCTTCAGCTGACCTCCCTGACCCCTAACCCCTGACCCCAGAGGAGCCAGGACTGCCCACCTGCGTCCCCTCGATGCCTGGGCTGCCCCCCCTCATGCTGTGAGCTTCCCCAGGCAAGCTTGTCTTGCTCCCCAGGGTGGGCGCTGCCCCCGACGTGTCCACACAAGGCTGAGGGCCACACACGAGGTGTTTCCCTTCCTGAGCTTCACAGCCACCTGTGAGGACTGGGTTCCACGTTGGGGGATGAGCTTGGGGGCGGAGGGAAGCCGCCACGTTCCAAGGGCACTCCAGGGTGGGTGGCAACCAGACCAGGGCTCTGCCGTTGCCACTGCCCTGCCTGGGAGGAAGCTGAGGAGGGTAAGTGGGAGGCTGGGCTCATGCTGCCCACCCCAGTGCCCTGCACGGAAGCTGTCTGGTGCTCCAGACAGGGCACCCTCCTCCAACAGTCTCCCCCAGGCCCTTCCTTATACAGCCGTCAAAAGACCCCCGGGGCCACTGTGCCAACTCCCCTGCTAGCTCTCCTCTACCAAGCCAGCTCTGAGGGAGCCCCGAGGCCCCGCCCAGCAGGCAGGGCCAGAACGAGCCTCCCCAACTCCAAATTTCCCTCCACACCTGCCTGGGGGGTAGGGGACCGAGGCTGGGCCTGGATCTGGGCAGGAATTTTATTGCACGTTCGCAGGTACAAGAGCTCTGAGCAGCGTCACAGCTTGGAGGAGGCGGGGGCAGGGGCAGACGAACCCCCAGATGCTGGCAGCCCCCATACTGGGAAGCTGCCACGAAAGCCCTTCTTGCAGGCGTCTAAGGGGTCCTAGGGACCTGGGAAGGGGCAGGAGGCAGCCACTGGAAGCCATGGGACAGCAGCAAAGGAAGAGCCCCAAGGAGAAGGGAGAGAACCGAGACCCGGGCGAGGCGCGGGCAAAGGGCCGGGGCCAGGCAGGGCGGGCTTGGGGATGCTCGGGGTCCCGCCGCTGGGCTCGGCGTCCCATGGCCACCCTGCCTGGTTCACAGCCTCGGGCTGGCCTGGAGCAGAAGCCCTGTTCAGCGCCGGCCGCCCTGAATCCGGTACCTCCTAGGCCTGAAACCACCACCTCTCGGGTGCCTCTGCACAGCCGGCGGCGCCCGTGGGCCTCAGTAGTCGGTGAGTGGGTACCGCAGGAAGACGAAGACGAGGATGATACAGGAGGCAGCCAGGGCGGAGCTGGTGATGTTGAACAGCCGGGCGGTCTTGGCGTCCTCCACGGCCCCATTCAGGTCATTAAGGAGCTTCTTGTCCCGGACCTGCAGCAGGCGCACGAGGGTGAGGGCAGAGAGTGGGAGATGATAGGACTTTGTGGGTGCCGACCTCCCAAGTGTTCATAACGTACTGAGGGCCTGTGAGGGAAGCTGGGGCACAGGGGTGAGGGCAGAGAGCAGGAGATTACAGGGCCGCATGGATGCTGACTTTCTGAGAGTTCACAATGTACTGAGGGTCTGTGAGGGAACAACTTGACTTTGGGGAAATACCCCTAAAGTGTGTAGGGTTATGGGCCATTGAGTCTGTGACTTACCCTCAAAGAGTTCATATAATAAGTAATTGACAGGGAGCAGGTCGGGTGGCACAGTGGGGAAAGCACTCAGCTGCTGACCAAGAGCTCACAACCCACCTGCCACTTTGCAGGAGAAAGACGTGGCAGTCGGCTTCCATAAAGAAACCCCATGGGGCAGTTCCACTCTGTCCTCTAGGGGCGCTGTGGGTCGGAATGGACTCCACGGCAGTGGGTGTGGTTTGGAGTTTGCTTCCATGAAGATTGACAGCCTGGGAAACCCTCTGGGGCAGTTCCACTCTGTCCTATATAGTTGCTATGAGTTGAAATTGACTGGATGTCCTTGGGCGGGTAGGTGTTTAGAGAGAGAGAAGGAAAAGTGATTGTGGTAAGCTGTGGACTTTCAGGGAGTCTGAGTGAAGCGAGGAGTAGTGCGAAAGGTTAATGCCTCTATGGCCAGCTGAAAGTCTGGCACCTCAGATGAGAGGCCTGACAACTTACTTCCAAAAGTTATCCATTGTAAACCCCACAGAGCACAGTGGTCAAAAGACCCCCGGCCACTGTGTAGCTGCTAGCTCTCCTGCTAGCTCTCCTCTGCCAAGCCTGCTGTGAGGCAGCCCCCAGGCCCCGGCCCACCAGAGGAGTGTCCTACTCTGACACATGGCGTCGCCATGAGCCAGAGATGTAAACTCCACAGAGCACAGCTCTGCCCTGACACACAGGGTCGCCACGAGTCAGAGCCGATGCAACAGGAAGCAATGGCAGCAGGCGGTGAGGGGTACAGAGGGGTTCTTTCTGTGTGTGCAGCTTTTCTGCAAGTCAGAAATTATTTAACATAAGAGAAGCTGGCTCTTCAGTTCTTAATGTGACCGGAGGATGGGGCAACACAAACGCGTCCTAATTATGACTGACCCCGCCTAGTTTAAAACTGAGGAGCTCTGGTGGCATAGTGCCTAAGGCATTTGACTGCTAACCAGAAGACTGGCGGTTCAAACCCACCAGCCTCCCCTTGGAAGGAAGACTGAGCAATCTACTTCTGTAGAGATACTGCCTCAGAAATCCAAGGAGGGGTTGTTATGAGTCAAATCCGATTCGACGGCAGTGAGGTAATTTAAAATCACTTGGGGTTCCCTGAGAATGAGCAGTTGTGATAAACAGAACAGGTGGTGGTCCCTGGGGTCTCCGAGAAGGGATAGTAAGGTGAAGGGAATGAGGTGGAGCAGGAAGTCATGGGAAGACAGTGGAGAGTGCTGGACAAATTTCCAAGCTTCTCTGGTTGTGAAAAGAAGTCCCTAGGAGCATGCTACCCTCCATCTACGATGAGTCTTGGTGTTCCCCTTGCCTCAACTCTCTCCCTTTCCATAAAGTCAAAACAAGGGCAAGAACTAAAACCTTGGGATCAGAAGGGGAGGGGGAAGGGGAAGGAGAGAGATGAAGAGAGGAAAGGAGGGTCCTGCATTAATAGATTGGTGGATCGTTGAATGGACGAGATAGGGTGGGGTTGATGGAAGGAAAATGGACAGATGATAATCACACTGACAGATTCAGACCACTAGGTGGGTGGGTTAGGAGGATGGACAGGGGACAGGAGGAGGACTGGATGGACAGAGGATAGAGGGGCAGTTAATGTGATAGGCACACACC